AGAGATTATTGGCAGAAACATGCAGTAAGTTTATTCACTTTTTCATTTGAAATTTCAAGGAAACATTTTTCAGGGGAATAGTGTATCAGTTCTGTGCACCTTTCTCTTCTGGTGGGAAGGTGAGCTTCACACAGACAGATGTTTTGTACTGGAGTTCAGAGGCAGAATTAGGGCTTTGCTTGAAGTCATCTTCCCTGAGCTGTCCGGTTAAGGTCAAGCAAGTTATTTTCTGCTTTGAAAGCTCCATGAGGAAACAAAAAAAACCTGGATAGTCATGCTTCTAATGGATGGCATTTTAGCACTTACTAAGCACCAAGTTTTCTCTACTCCATGAAGTCTTATTCATTTCATTCAGGCTTTCAAGACTTCACTTTACAGTTAGAGCATGCAGAACAGCACAGAATTGTGTTGGCCATTTGGTGTTAATATAACTAAAAATCCAAGTAGAAAAAAGTAACTACATCCTGAAGTCAGAGATGGATTCAAGGGCGGTCTTTTAACTTCCAAGGAGAAATGCTGGTATCAACTAAGAAAATGATAAAAACTGGTACCCACAATAGACTTTGTTGTGAGTCTACTTGAAAAGGTCAGGCATATGATCAGATTTATGAACTGTATTTTGGAACTTTCATGTTGTGGATCCCTAGTGCTTAGAAAAGTGACTTATTTTGCTGGCACATAAAATGACATTCAATAAAAGTGAGTTTTGCTCTAGTCATGGTATTTCACATGCTTGAGACACAAGGCTCAAGAGTTTGAGGCCAAATATAATGAGTCAATTAAAAAGAGCCAAAGTCAATACTGGTCACACTTGGCTGATCTTGAAACTGTGACCCTTGAAAGCAGTTACTTCTTTATGACAGTGTTAGTCTGCTTCCTGTCAGGGAACAATAGCTATCATGTTTGACTGTTCTTCTCCTCGTAGGGAATGGCAATGCTCTGTGAAACCATAGAAGAGTGCTGGGATCACGATGCAGAAGCCAGGTTATCAGCGGGATGTGTAGGTGAAAGAATTACCCAGATGCAAAGACTAACAAATATCATTACTACAGAGGACATTGTAACAGTGGTCACAATGGTGACAAACGTTGACTTTCCTCCCAAAGAATCTAGTCTATGATGGTGGCACCATCTCTGTACACACTGAGAATTGGGACTCTGAACTGGAGCTGCTAAGCTACGGAAACTGCTTAGTGTATTTTCTGTGTGAAATGAGTAGGATGCCTCCGGGACATGTACGCAAGCAGCCCCTTGTGGAAAGCATGGCTCTGGGAGACTTACTGCGTCGTCTGCAGCACACAGATGAAGGGGAGTCTAAGGGAAAAGCTGCAAACTGTAAAGAACTTCGGAAAAATGTACACGAAGAATGTGGCCCTCTCCAAATCAAGGGTCTTTTGGACCTGGCTAATCAAGTATTTGAAAACTGACATCAGATTTCTTAAATGTCTGTCAGAAGACACTAATTCCTTAAATGAACTACTGCTATTTTTTTTAAATCAAAAACTTTTCATTTCAGATTTTAAAAGGGTAACTTTTTATTGCATTTGCTGTTGTTTCTATAAATGACTATTGTAATGCCAACATGACACAGCTTGTGAATGTGTAGTGTGCTGCTGTTCTGTGTACATACAGTCATCAAAGTGGGGTACAGTAAAGAGGCTTCCAAGCATTACTTTAACCTCCCTCAACAAGGTATACCTCAGTTCCACGGTTGCTAAATTATAAAATTGAAAACACTAACAAAATTTGAATAAATCAATTCATGTTTTATAACAAGGTATTACAAATTCACTGTGTTATTTAAGAAAAAATGGTAAGCTATGCTTAGTGCCAATAGTAAGTGGCTATTTGTAAAGCAGTGTTTTAGCTTTTCTTGTACTGGCTTGTAATTTAGGGAAAACAAAGTGCTGTTTTTGAAATAGAAAAAAAAAAAAACTGGTGTCATTTCCCCTCTTTCCTTTCACCTTATATCCAGGTCCCAAAGTATTACATACTTAAGTAGTACTTTTTTCTTTAAGGTGTGCTGTGTTTGGGAAATATTTGAAAACATAAAGCATGATTTAAAAAAAAAACATTTAAGTGAGCTGTGACACTGGAAAGCTCTTCATTTTATCTTTTGAAATAGATTTTTTTTCCTATTTATATATGTAAAATTGTGGTGTATTTCTTTTACCGAACAGTGTGTGGGATATTCTTATCACTGTTTTAGGATCACCTCAGGAAGTGTCATTACTCAGAATTCCCCACTCTGCTTTGAGACATGTAACTCTTACTATACTGTGTGGTGCCATCTTGTCAGAGTAATATTTGACGTCTGTGAGATGAAGAGAATTACCTTAGGATAGAGATACTGACCGTTAAACACAGATTTCAGATATTACTGCTTTAAATCAAATCAGGGATACCAAGTTGAACCTATAACTTAAAATATGCAATGACATTTAGAGGTAACCAGTGGTGGTATAAGGAACACAGCCTAGACTCCCCCGAGTTACTTTACAGCTAATTCTAGATAGTTCTTGCTAAGAAAATGGAATTGGTGGCAAGTAGGTGCCAGAATACTTTTAAAAACAATGGAACATTAGAATAGAATTGGCTTCTTCCTCAAACTTAGGTAAGCCTAAGTGAAAGATTTAATTCCCTGAAATTTTAGATTACCAACAAATAGCCAGTATTATGTTATATACATTTTTGTTGAGTCACTTTAACATCCATACATTAATTTTATAAACTTTTTACATTACTACTATCAGGAGCTCACTGTGAATGCATTATCTTTGGATGGCTAAGACATCATACACTATATTTTACACAAAATGTACACTAATCTCTGGGAAGACTAAATTAATTATAAACAATACATAGGTCAACAGACTCTAAGCAGGGAGGGGAGAGTAATAGCATTTGTGTCTGTATGCCACACCCCATAGAGAATTGTGCTGTCTGTGTACCCAAGGTCTCACTGTAATCCTAAAATCGCCCAGTTTGGTGTTCTTGTTTTGATTTTTACACATTTGGCCTCTCAAGTTCTTGATTTAGGTTTGCTTCCACTTGTAAACTAATCAAGGAAAACCATAAGAGAATGTGCATACAAGGAAATTGTTACTCTCCATAAACAAATTTCTAATGATTGTAGACATTCAACCTTTTTACAAGTGATAAGTGAGGGCTATGTGAGTGTCTGGCTTAGGAAAGCACTGCAGATAAAATGTTGTCAAGACTGGTTCAAGAGAGAAAATGCTGTCCTCACTCGAGGGAAGCTTTAAGATATCTTGGGTATTGTACTTAAATCTAGCTTATCAATTTAAAAACCTGTATCCTCTTGAGAACTACATTTACAGAAAGCCTTTTTTATAAGCAGTAAAGTAAGAATGTTCCAGTGACTACCTGTCCTTATACCTAGTCTTGTTAAAACTTTCTTTTGCAGGGCATTTTAGTGTTTGGTTTACAGTAAGTACAGAGCGGGCAGATAAAAAGTTTGATCTAGGGACACTGAAAAAGGAAGATCAAAGACTGAAAAGATTTTTTTTTTGAGGGAGATGGCAAACTTAGACCCCTGTAACTTTGTGTATGGTGCTCCTCATGATGTCTTGTACTTTGCCTTTCTGATCCCCACCAGAACTGCTGCTCTTACTTACTCTACCTTGCCCAGATCTTCTGTGAGAAATGCTTTATGATCAACTGCCATAGGACTGATGGATTAACCAGTGTTCAAATTTATTTGAAGTCTATCTATGCCCTGCACAGATCTTGTATGTATTTTAGATGCCAGGAGTTTTAGCATGTGATTTGTGATTCTTGTTTGGACTTTTTATTACAGGTACCTTGTGAATTCCAGAACAGAGACTGTGCCTCAATGATTGGTCCCATGAATTTGCACTATCTTTCGTGGTGATATTCTGAAAACTAGGAAAAACAAAATCCAACACCTTTGAATTTAAAACTAGAATCATATATCACAAAACTATGAAAACATCGCTTGTCCCCTTTTTTAATCCTTCAATAATAGTCACATTTAAGTAAAATTCTAATGGTTGGGAACAAACCCTCACCAGATAGATGGTAGTTTAGTGGAATAGACTGGTTACTGTTTTTTTTAAAAAAAAAAATGCTTCATCAGATATTTTCCAGTTTCTCTTTTTTACTTTTTTGAAAAATTACTTTTTAGGAACATTTGGTATAATGTGCATAAAATTATTTACAATTTATGGACAAAGATACAAGTAGCATCTTGATTAAACATCATTTACCTCAGATATTCAACCAGCAGTACGTTTTTTATGCAGTCTCAACCCGTATCTCCCTATTTGTTACCTCTCAAAATATTGGTAAACAATTATTTTAGCTTTACTCTGTATTTCTTGTCAGTGTTTTGGGCACAGGTTGTTGTACTACTGTCATATTGTACTTGCTATTTTTTTTCTGCAAGTATTTAACAGAAAGCTAAAAACGAAAAAAATCCCCATAAAATCCCACCTTGAATAAGTGATTGTTAAATATTGTACAAATAAAATGTATGCTATCCCCATTCCATCCCTATGTTAAATAAAAAATGAATATGGTATTGTTTTGCACATGCCGTTTTTCTTTAGCTATGTACACTCTTAAAGAGGTAGTAGTTTACACTGAAGCTTCTGCATGGAAGATTTCGAGGGTAGTGTTATAAAAGCAGGGTTTTTGTGAATTAGGGTAAATCAAATAATCAGACTGTATTTCTACCCAAGTGTCTGTGTTGTTCCTACTGCCCATGGGAGGGATCCAGAGACTTATTGGTAGAGTCAGTGCATTTCATGGGGTTCTGTGCTCAAGGACAAAGGGGAAGACAACTTAGATTGCTGCTCTGAAAGGACCCACACTGTCATCTAAGTCAGATCAAAAGGCAATGGTGGAATATGCACACAACTGCCACAGAAACTCCCATTTCCACAGCATATTCTGCAGTGTCTAATTCTTTAGATAGGTAGGTAATAGGTCCTTACCATATAAGACATTACCATATGGAAGTTTAAATGACAGATTTTAATTTCTCAGAGACATGTGTCTGCATATAAATCAGAAATGCCTTTTAAACAAGATCCAAGTTTCTGTAGGCCACATGGAAACAGTCTTAAGTCCTTTTTGGTAGTTCCTCCATCTGTTGGCCCAGGGGAATCTTGAGTTCTTGATTTTCAGTATTTTTCTTCATTGCAGAGAATCTTCAAGTCATAATTTCTGTTACCATTCCTCAGGGTGCTTTGGAACTGTTATGTAGGCTCCACCTCTGAAGCTGTGGAGTTGTACCTTACAGATACACACTTCCGTGCCATACATTGTTGTTATTTTTAGGAAGTCATTTTTATTAGATTTAGTTCTGTCTTATTTAGACAAAAAGGAGGAGATGTAGGGATAAGTCCAGCCCCTTAGGGGGTGGGTTTGCCTAGGGCTAATGTTTACCTATAAATCTGGCGAGCATGCTCCCAGCTGCTGCTTCTGCTTTCCTGGTCTCTGCAGGAACAAATGCTTGATTTTCTTTTAACAAATCTCCTATATCGTGGGACTACAGACACCTTGTCCTGCTGCTAGTTTTTTAAAGGAAAAATTTTGCTTTTATTCAGGTAATATTGCTTAATATTGTTAAATATTTGTTCACTGCTGAAAATGTGTAGGCTAACTATGTATGTTATCAAACCACTATGCAAGCCTTAGACTTAATGAGATATGGCTGGGTAAAAAGTCTTAAGACATAAAAAAGTTACCATGTTTTATTGTAGGAAAGGCTGTGTCAGAAGAATATGGGTTTTTAACTATGAGGTGGTACTTTAATGCACAGAAATCAGCCAAATTATTTCTTGAAAGTGTCCTGTAAAACAGTAAGAAATGTGCAGTTGAGCAGGTTTTTCTGTAGCTTTTGGAGCCTGCCCTGGAACTAGCTCTTGTAGACCAGATTGGCCTCGAACTCAGAGATCTGCCTGTCTTTGCCTCCCAAGTGCTGGGATTAAAGGTGTGTGCCATTGCCGGGTTGAGCTTCAGTTTTTAATAACATGGGCTTTAGTCACACCAGACATTCCCGTGCTGTGATCCTAGACATAGCGCTGGTGTGCTAGTTTTCTAGTCTGTAAACACTATTCAGTTCTGCAGTTAAATACTTTATAAATTGCACACAGATTTATGTATTTCATAAAACCTCACTATGACCAAATATGCAATCAAATATTCTTGAACAAATTGAATGATTAAAGTTCCATTTTTAAACTTCAACCTGTTACTTTTAGGTCTGAATTTATGATCTGGACCTTTGACTGACTTTTTGAAGCACACTGCTAACACTTCCCATCTGTAAAAGCGGTTTCCCAGGAATCCTTTAAGGTACATGTTAGATAGCAAATTCTGATTCCTTCTGAACTAAAGTAGACTCAGAATGTACACTTAAAAAATCCCTACACGAGATTCTGATAAGATACTCAGAAGAAAATGCTCAAGAGTTTTCAACCCCTTCCACACAAATTTTCTTCAGCCCAAGTGGGCCAGTCTATGGAAATTTGGATTAGACCCAAAATTCTTATACTGCAAAACCAAACCCAATCTCGACAAGTTCCTACTGTAGCTGAAATAATCATGTAATTTCTGCTCCTTGTTGTCTCCTGACTGCTTAGGATTACCTTCGGTAAACTGAGTACTTAGTTGAAACCACCTTTTCCAAAAGACCACATACATTCTTCAAGAGCCTCACATCATCATGTGGACTATCCCTAAAATTTTATTCTTTTGAATTGCTACTAATGTAGTACAATTTAAATCAATGGAATTTTGTGTATGTGCAGTCATGATTCAACAAATAGGCAAGATAGTTAAGTTCAAGTTTCTCATAAACAATATTTATAAACAAAGGAATGTAATAATATATCTCTTTTAAAGGGCAGTAGTAGCTTTTAGTTTTTTACAGAAATGTACATAAAAGATTCACAGCCAGCTTAGTGAGGATGTTGCCCACTGCCTGACATCTGTAGGGCAGTTGGAGTACTTCTGTAGAGCATTCATAATTTGAGTATTATCCAAAAGTAGTTTCACTAGCTGGTATTCTCTCTGTGAATTGACTGAAGTTCTTTCCATGGGTTTTATTAATTCCAATTGTTGTAAATGCTCAAACGCCTGCAAAATAAAAGACAGAGCATAGAAAATAGGGGGAAAATGTTAAATCTAAGACAGATATTGGTTAAAAAGAAGAGACTCAGCACATTTAAACCATCTTTTCCCCAAGTGCACCTCTCCATACCTTTTATATTAAAATATTTATTTTTTATTTCATTTTTAACTATTTTTTAAGACAGGATTCTCTTGTAGCCCCAGCTCTCCTAGAACTCAGGGATCTGCCTGCTTCTGCATGCAAGTGCTGATATTAAAGGTGTGGGCTACCACATCTGGGCTCTATAATCTTTTTCTTAATTAACTAAAACTTTGTTCATGACAGACAGGGGAGGAAGAAAGTAAGAAAGAGAACAGAAAAGACACCAACTTTTAGTGACGTGAACTTAGCTCAGTAGTATGCAAGTGCTGGCCTAGCCCCACCAAACAGAAATGGTAGTCCCAAAACCCAAGCCTACTCAAATCCAGAGAATTACACTGTTAATTTTATCTGAATCTTAAGGAGGTTTTGTTTCTAGACTGATTCTATATCACAGGTTTCTTTTTCCTACTGTACCCAAATCCTATTCATGCTCAGCACCTTCCACATTCCGCTTGAGCTTATCCTACTACTTTGATACAAAAACCCAAAGAAACTGATAAGACTCTAACTAAACAGGTTACTAAAATTTGCAGTTTGTTTCAGTCTCAATAAAGCTTTATTGTATGTTAAACAGCTGTATACCAATAGATCAGTGTTGTACTTCACCATTAGAGAAACTTTCTCCTGCATTAGATGGGAACCAATAAAGACCCACATCTGGACAATGTGTAGAGCAGAAGACCTTGGAACACCCTGCTCTAACTAGGATTCTTTCCACCAAACCCCTCACCTTAGGGCTCTGTGGTAAAAGATGTAAAAAGATTTTAAGAGCCAGAGGGAATGGATACCAAGGAAACAGTGTCTCCCATACACAACAGGACTAAGGAGCAGGAACTCTGAGAGGCTGTGACACACACAGCATGCACAGGTCCAAGCCAGAAGGGGTCCATTCAAATGCTGAATGGGGAAGTAAACTTGATCTCCCATCCAAACCAAGAAGCTATCACCAATTAACAACCTCTCATAAAGGAAAAATTAGTTTCTCTAAGGAAGTCTCTCTGCGTATACAAACCACACTTAAGGGCAGAGACAGTGCACAGTAGTAGATGGCCAACACAAAATGAACTCAAAGGTATTTGTAAAGTTTTGGTCTAAATATGGCTTTCCTTTGGCACATGCTCCCTTCCCGCCCCACCCAAACTGGTCTTTTGCTTGTTTATTATGGTTTCTGCTTTTGTTTTTATGGGTTCTGGTTGTGTCTCTGCCTGTGTATGCGCTTGCCCCTGCTATTTTGTTGTTTCTTTTGTCTGTTTGTTCATTTTGTTTTATCCTTGTCTATTTGCTTGACTGTTTTCTTGAGGGAGGGCATGGAGTTGGAAGGGTAAGGTGGGAAGGATCTGAGGGAGGAGATTGGGATATATTATATGAGAATAACTCCTTTCAAGAAACATAAGTAAAAATTAAAGAACAAAAAAGTTAAACAACTGTAACACAGGTTAAGAAAGGTCCAGAGTACAATAAAGCTATGGGGCGGGTCCTGTAAGCAAAGGGCCTGTAAGGCGGCACAACCCTGGGGTGGTGGTGTGTTCGTTTTTTTTACCACCAGCCAATGAAGTTCCCGTCCATGCTCCTCTAAGTCACCTTAACAGAAATCTTCACTGTTTGCTTCCTCTTACTCTACAACTCATATAGTAGTTTTTTAGAACCTTGACAACTGCTGAGGTTTGTTATTAAGGAAAGAGAAACACCACACTGATGACATACTAAAACAGTGACACATGGAAGTAGAAGTAGATTCTTTCTTTCCCCTTCCAGTGGAGACTGCGAATCCAGTCACCCACTTTCACAAATTATGAAGTCGAATTTCCTGCATCTGGGAAACTGCAGGGGTCAAACATCTGGAGTGCAATGGGTAAGCCTGCCCCTGGGGAAACCATCATCCTGGCCATTGTATCTTCTCCCTTGCCTGTAAATACTGAAGTAGATTCTTGAGCATTTTTTTCTTAAAATTCACTGTGAAAAATATCACTAGAATATAATTCTGTTTCCCTTAAAAGTTCTTATAGGAAGAGAAAAGGCTCGGATGTCAATCATTTTATAAAATGAGAAAATATTAGATTCTTTAGTATAGAAAAACAAAACTGAAAAAAAACATTTCCAAGTTGCAAAATATACCCTATTTTAAAATGTTCAAATGAGCTACAAATGATTCCTAAACATGCCCAGGTGTCCTTTGCACAACCCTGACACTAGAGAGGAGTTAGGGAGAATCCTCCCTCAGGATGCCAGGACTGGTGCTGCTTCGGGAACGGGCAAGACTCTGCTCTGTGAAAACTGCTACAGGAAAGAAATGCAGGCTATGCTCTAGAAGGAATGCCAAATCAGGCTTCCACTGTTTAAAAATAAAGATGTTTAGTCCCTTGTAACAGTCCCCACCACAACCACACTGTGCCAACACTGGAGAATCAAACCCTTGAAATGGGTGGGCCTGTTTACATTTTATTTAGATTCCATTAAATATGAACGTAAAACTCTGAGATTTTATTTAGTAAAATAAATATATTTGGTATAATTTTTAAATGTAAACCTACTTTTCTAGTTATATATTTAAAATTTAAAAGATAAAATTTCTAATGAGTATTTATTAAATTGGGATCTGCTGTAATTCTGTACACATATTCCAAATTTTAAAGATATAATAGAAAATACTTCATAAATTATTTAATCACAGATTTGGAAATATTTTTAATAGACTGAGTTATACTTTTACAGTTATTTGACCTTATATTTCCCATGCCTACTAGAAAACCTAAGTCTATATAATGTGATTCCCATTTTCTTTGGAGCAGAGGAGAGTATTATAGGATATCATTGTCAAGTTGTAAATTGATAACTTACCACAAATATAACTTAACATTTGTAAGTACCAACTTGTGGGCTGAAAAAGGATAGAGTCATTACAGCAATGTACTTCCTTTGCAGTATGCAAGTACTAAGAACAGACAGTAGAGGGCAGCCTATCTTCACAAACTCTGCCTAAACAAGCTGCCTAAAGAATTTTTGAAGTATTTTTCAATTTAACCAAATTTTGCTCTCAACAAGTTCTTACAATAAAATACTTAAGGGTTCAAAAGGTTATGAAATATATAAAAAAATCAAGTTGAATCTGATGAAAACTACAAGCAAATCAAACCATACCTTCATGACCACAGGTTTCTCAAAGTTATAAACAGAATGGGCCTTTCTTTGAATAAATTTCTGAAACTCTGCAAAGTAAGCAATAAGAATATTAGTACTCCCCAATAAGGGACAGAGAAGAAATCTAGAAGAAAATGACAAACTTTTCATCTCACCATTATAGACCATTTGAAAATTAAAGGGCTCCTCTTCATATATGTCATTTAAATGTTTCATTGCTATTATAAGACAGATTTCCAAGACTGACAGACCTATAATAAAAGAGAGATGGACTCTTGAGTTGCTTGACACTGAAATGACTGTCCTCTAGAAAATAACTACTGTTTAGTCAAGGCTTTGAAGGGTAGAGAAGGGTGGGATGCCCTGTATTTAAAAGTATTCAACCACTATTTTCTACAAGAACACAAGTAAGTCTTTTAACTTCCCCAAACATAGTTGTTACTGGCTTCTTTGGGGGGTGGGAGTAGGAGATCTGCAAAATAAGGATTTTTGTAAACTTAAAGGGGTGTGCTATAAGCATGAAAAAATTGATACTATATGGCCCACAACAAATAAAAGAAGTTGTGATTATCATGCAATTTCAAATAACATGACTTTGGGAAGCATTTATGCAGGGAAGTTCTGGGAATTACATCTAAAACTGTGTGCATAGCCCCTGTTCTCCCCCAACATACTGGAAAGAAAAATGTTCCATTCTCAAAAGGAAGAGGGAACCTCAAATGAACAAATACCACCAAATATAGTAGCACTTAGAGCAAAGATGGAGAACATTGTCAATAACCTTACCTGGAATTCCTATTGGCATGGGAGACGGAACAGTTTTTTTCACTCTAAAGAGCAGTGATAATACACGCACTGGACAGTACTGATTCAAAGCTGCTATGTAAATATTCTGTATACAATGCACTATGCTACATACTGATTATAATTTTGGAAAATATCTAAATCTAAACTTTAAAAATCCAAAAGTTAAAAGAAAGACTAACAAAGCAGTTTCTCACCATGTACAATACTTGCTTTAGAATCCAGGTTACACAAATGTTGCACCTCCATTAGATCTGCTGAAGTCATAAAGGGGTGTGATACTGTTACTCGATTTAAAGCAAGCATCTAAAGAAAGGTACATTAAAAATAACTTATTTACTTGAATATTCTGGAGATATTAAAGAACAATGTTTAAAAATTGGTATAGTTTATTCTTATAAGAAAGAAACTAGAGAGTTAGCCTCAAACTCTGCTCCATGAAAATGCAGCAGAGACTCAGTTCAGATCTGCTGTCTCTACTATTGTGCACTTGAATCTTACTTGTCAAAAATAATTAAAAGAAGAAATGTCCAACAAAAAACTGAAAATAAGAACACAATTCAAAACTCTGATATTTACAAATAATATGTAGAGGTAAGTAAGTAATCACAGTTTATAAGTAAGCAATTTAGAAAACAATTATAACCTTAGACATAACTATTCTCTTCATTTAGTGCTCTACTCAAGCAAATATCAGCTTCTGGGACTAAGTTTTCACCTCAATTAACAATTTCACTGTATTAATCTGTATATTGAATAGAAATATCTCAGGTTTGTCAATGTAGCAGACAAAAAGACAGCATCAGGTTAGATGTACACTTCAGATACTCAATAGTTAAGGACAAGAGACTGGAAGTCCTTGAACTTCTACAAGCTGGGACTCTGACCATTGTGGCTATTTCTCTATTTTTTTCAAGCTTTCTATAAAGAAAGTTCTATGAAGATAGTATCAGAACTCATTTTCTTATAAAAATCTATTATGAAAACTTATCCATTAACACATAATTTTTTGTTTTCACGGATCATGCAAAAATAAATGTAGTTAAAAAATACAAACCAATAGCATATGTAATGACCGCATGTTTTTGTTGACATTGAAATGTTTCTGTAAAACTTCACGCACAGTTGAGTCTTCTGAGAGACACTAAAAAAACAACAAACAAAAACAAAACAATAAGGATAATATAGCTTAATCCCAAATTTCTAATCTAATAAGGGGAAACAACATAGTCAAACTGGAGGGATGGTTGAACAGAAGGTAGTACAAACCAGAGAATCAAGAGTTATTATACTTGAAAAAAGGGGAAGTATTAAAAGAATATAATGGGAAAATTATGAACTGCTATCAGAACATGAGCAGAAGTAAGACCATGGCACAAGAGGAATTCTTCCTATCTCTTAAGCACAGTTATTTGCAAAGGGCCAGCATAGAAAAAGAAAGCCTAACTGGAATACAGCCAAGTACCTATGGTTAGGAAGCTCTATTTCTACTATTCTGCTGTATGGACACTATACCCTCTAAATTCCTCTCTTGTAATTAGTATAGCACTCAGACCTCATCAGAAAAGTTTCTTTGTGTAGCAGATGGTGGTTAATGGAGAAACTCACAACTGGCCACAGTGCAGATGCTAAGTGAATGATCGGTGTTCAGCCAGAAATAGAACATCTATATACGACAATTCCTCCAAAGTTCAGAGACTATCTTAGAAAAAGGCATAAGAAGATTCTAAAAGCCAGGGGGCTAGAGAGGACCAGAACAGAACTTCTGTACTCATGAGTGATGTGGGATTCCCACATGAATATGAATACCATTGGTTAATAAAGAAACTGGCTTGGCCTGATAGGGTTGAACAGAGCTAGGCAGAAAAAACGTAAATGAATGCTGAGAGATGGAAGGCAGAGTCAGGGGAGAAGCCATGGAGCCGCTGCTTGAGATAGATGCGCTGAATCTTTGCTGGCAGGCCACGACCTTGTGGTGATGCACACACAGATTAATGGAGATGAGTTAAAATAAGATGTACGAGTTAGCCAATAAGAAGCTAGAGATAATAGGCCAAGCAGTGATTTAAATAATATAGTTTCTGTATGGTTATTTTGGAGCTGAGCAGCTGGGGATAAACAAGCAGACTCTCACAACACATGAACTCATGGAAGCTGAGGTTATCTGGACAAGATCAAGCCAGTTAGCACAGGATGGGAAGGGGTTCATGAGCCCCAGCTCTGGTTGAGAAGCTAGGGCAGCTGACAGGTTCTAGGAGAGATAGAATCATTTGTTCCTAGCAGGTTGGCCAGTCTCCAGCAGATGGCCCTACAAACAAGGGTATATGGACAGCAAAATATGACAGAGTGGGTTATAAAAACAAGAACATACTACCAAAAGACACTACATGACACTGTAAAAAAATTACCCAACAAATGTAAATACTGAACTCCCCAACAATAATGAAAGCCACAGATAGAATACATGTTTATATCTCTACTAGAGATGTTTTGCTTCTTTCACCTCAAAAATATCTAAATTTCAGGAATAAACTTTTGATTCTCTCTTGAAATTTCACACTCTCAGTAAATCTATTTTTCTAGTTAAATCTTTACTTCCTAGTGCTGTAAAAAAAGCTTGTAAGAACTACAGGTTTATCTTAAACAAACAACTAGCTGCAATGTCAGCACTGAAGTAGTGGCTGGCTCCCAAACCACCTTTACCACACTCCCACCCAGAAGGGGACTCTGGCCATGGTGCTGACACATTTTAGTAACACACTCAAGGAGGCAGCACAAGATGATCAAACTGCAAGCCCGAATAGTGTCAATTCTCCTTTAAACACTAAAGCTGTAAGCCTTTCATAAGAAAAGAGATCATCACCTACCATGTGCCACTTAAGTTTGATTGGGGGCAATAAAGTCTGAAAACAAAACAGCAAAATAAAACAAACTACAAAGCTGAGAGCTTCAGGAAGTCATGCCTGAGGGTAACAAGGAAAACTACAGCTGTACCTAAGGAGCTGGTATCCTGCTTGGATGCAACTTGACATGAGGAAACGAAGGAAACTGTAGGTATGTCTTGGTAAGTGTGTTTCTCAATGGACAAATGCCTCTCTGTGCCTGTTTATATATTCTTCAAGTTGAAATTTGTTATCAATAACTAAGGTGCCAGGGAACTTTCACATGCTACTTAAGGGCCTGCATCCTCAATAGAGCCTGGTGTCTGGCTGTTTCAAAAGGCTTATAGGAAATAACCTAAAAGGGAGATCTGGTTCAGCATGAGGAACTCTACCTCATGATCATACCATCCATAAATATTCACAAAATCAGAAAGGACTCAAAGAGTTGCCACCTCATTTTTCTGTTTGTGTTTCTCTCTGTACTGGATTACCCTTTGCTTTATTTTGCTAAATCAGTGTCTACCTAAACTTCATCTTTACCTGATAAACACTAGAGGCGAGTCATGTTGTCATCTAATTGCATCCACTTTTTAAATCATCTAGACTAGTGCTTCACCAGAAACTCCTATCATTCTCTAATTATATTCATTACTGTGTCTGTAGAAAACTGAGTCGAGGAAATAAATACCTTAGAGAAATAAAATAAGGGGAAATCCTATTCTCTGTTATGAAAAGGTCATTAGTTTGGGTATGTAATCACCAATGCACATTTCTGTATATCTCTGATTACTTATACTGTACCGCCCAACACAATGCAAATGCTATGTAAATAGCTTTGTGTATGTGTGTGTGTAGAAGTTAGTTTTTTGCCAACTAGACACAAATTAAGAGTCATTTGGGAAGAGAGGCACTCAACTGAGGAACTACCTCAATCAAACTGGTCTGTTAGCATGTCTGGAGGGTATTTTCTTGATTAATGATTGAAGTGAGAGGGCTTAGCTCAATGTGGTTGAGCCATGTCTGGGCAGGTAGCTCTGGGTTTTCTAAGAAAGCAAACTGTACAAGTGAGTAAGCAGCATTCTTTCATGGCCTCCGTTTCACTTCCTGCCTTCTTGTTCCTGTCTTGGCTTCCCAATGATGGACTCTAACCTGTAAGCCATATCTCAAGTTGCTTTTAATCAGAACATTTTATTATAGCAACAGAACTAGGCCATTATTAAACTGCATTGTTAAGGGAATGACAAATAAATGCCTATATATGTTCAGTATAAATGCCATTGTTTTCTGTTTAATTTTCATTTGTGGCTGTATCTCAAGATGTAGAACCCATGGCTTTAAAACTATACAGTGATGGATACACACATGCAACATAGTTAGGTGGACAATGGCCTTGGCTGCAAAGTCACCTAAGGAAAAGAGAATAAAAAGGCATGAAAACACAAAAATCCCTGGAAGACATTTAAATATGAATAACTGCATTCAAATCTCTCAAAAACATGATGGAATAAGACTATTAGCTCAAGAGCTATATAAGGGGAATGCCTGTGAGGCATTGAGAAGTAAAGCAAATGGTCAGATGTTAAAATCCAGAACACAGTAAGAAAAGAAATAATGTAGATGACCAATGACAAAGAACATCTTCCTATAGAAAGAGATCTTAAATCAGACACAGCATCAGAGAAAACTTGCCTAGTCCCATGTAAGATTAGTCTAGTGGAAGGGAAAATCCAAAACTAAGTATTTGTAAAATTAAGATATTAATCACCTTAAAGTGTGTTGTATACATATAATAGCTGTGATGGTCAATACTGTCAACTTACTAATGGAAGATTATCTAGGTTAGGTTAGCCTTTGAGTGCAGTGGGACAATGGTCTTGTACCCTGTAAATATCTGTCACTTATGTTGGTTTAATAAAACGTTGATTGGCCAGTAGCCAGGCAGGAAGTATAGGCGGGGTGACCAGAATAGGAGAATTCTGGGAAGATGAAAGGCTCAATCTTCAGTCATCACTCAGTCAGATGCAGAGGAAGCAAGATAAGAATTCCTCACTAATAAAAGGTATCAAGCCATGTGGCTAACACAGACAAGAGTTATGGGTTAATAAGATGTAAGAGTTAATTAATAAGAAGCCTGAGCTAATAGGCCAACCAGTTTATAATTAATGTAGGCCTCTGTGTTTTTCTTTGGGACTGTTCAGGCTGTGGAACCGGGTGGACAGAAACCTCTGTCAATATTTGAACATGCCTGTAAAGAATTATCTATATTAGTTTATTGAGGTTGGATATGCATGGTGGTTTGAATAAGAATGGCTGCTGTAGGCTCACATATTTAGTCACCAAGGAATGAAACTGTTTGAAATATTAAAAGGATTAGGAGGCAAGACCTTGTGAAAGGAAACATGTCATTGGAGTAGGCTTAGAGGTTTCAAAAGTCTATGCCAGTCTCTCCCTCTCTTCTTGTGGATCAGGATGTATCACTGATACTTGACCAGTACCATGCCTATCTGATGTCACACTGTGTAATAATGACAATGGTATAAGCCTCTGAGATGGTAAGCCAGACCCTAATTAAAAGTTTTCTTTTATGAGTTGTCTTGGTCATAGTGTCTCCTCATATCAATAGAACAGTGACTAAGACAACACCCATCTCAATTACCATCCCACTGGGTTGGGGTCCTGGATTGAAAATGGGACAGGGAGAGAGAGGGAGAGAGAGGGAGGGAGGGAGGGAGGGAGGGAGGGAGGGAGGGAGGGAGTGAGTGAGAGAGAGAGAGAGAGAGAGAGAGAGAGAGAGATTGAGATTGAGATTTGAAAAGGAGCATTCATTATTCTGTTTTCTGACTGCAGATGCTGTTGACTATCTACCAAAAGCTCTGGGGTCTTCATGTCTTTCGCACCACTATATCCTTAAACTAAAACTCAACTCATACTCTCAAAATAACCCCTTCCTACCTTAAATTTATTTTATTATATATTTTGTTACACCAATAATTATTGTATGAATCAGAGCAAAATTAAGATAAAAAAATCACGTAAGCACTGAACTCTAAACAAATTTTAGCTTACAAGTAAGGTTTGAAATGGTACAAAATAAGTAGGGCTAGAATATAGTGTAGTGGTAGTCTGGTTGCCCAGTATACTCATAAGAGGTGCCACAGCCTGTACAGTGTTGTAATAAACTAATGAAACAAACTGAAGTTGTCTATGAGAACTGGAATAAAAAACACATGTGTAGGATAAGAGTGAACTTTCAATATGGTCTCTTATCAAATTGCAAAATATATAAAATAAAATCTAAACTAAGTAAATTCACTAAAAAAATTACCTAAAATGTAAACCAAATATAGATTAAAAATTTCAGCTACTCAAGAGTGCTAAAGCTTAACCTGAAGTTTTGAAAAGATATAATTTAGGACACAAGTTATGTCTATTGCCCTTAAGTAAGAAAAAGTTTAAAATTTCATTCCTCTATTAACATGAAAAGACACACATTTCTATGTCATTATTGCCTTCAACTTACCTGAGTATTCTCATTCCACCTCTCAGCAAAAACTTTATCTGGAAATTCTGCAGGCAGAGATAACTGTTCTTTAAATATTTTCACATACTGTGGAAAACCAAATGAATTCATTAAATGTATTTGCCGGTGAGAAAACCGCGACTTCACTCTTTTCTCCAAGAGTTCCAAAATATCCTTTGGAAACAAAAAGACATCCGTGTAAGAAGCATGTTCAAAATACACTGTCAGAGAATAAGCAAACAGGAACATTTATTTATAATTCATAAGTAAGCATTTTAATTTGAGGGGAACTAAATTAGTGGTTCTCAATCTTCCTAATGCTTCAAACTTTTAATATATTACTTCATATGGTGACCCTGAACCATAAAATTATTTTTGTTGCTACTTTATAACTATAATTTTGCTACTGTTATGAATTGTAATGTAAATATCTGATATCTAGGATGGTCTTGGGCAACCAACAAATTGAGAACTGCTGAACTAAATAATTCCTCTGGTCCTGATATCAAGTGCTAACATCCCCAAGTCTACTAAGGACACTCAAACAATGACTATTCCTGACCCAGACTGATAGGAACACAAGCACATCAGTGTGGTATTCTGCACACCGTAAAGTTCTCATAAAAATCTAAGGTAACAAAAATCCAGAGATATTCATGATTTTAAGAGTCTCAAGAAGCTGGGTGGTGGTAGCACATTCCTTTAATCCCAACATTCATGATCTACCTAGTGAGTTCCAGGGTAGCCAGAGATCCACAGAGAAACCCTGTCTCAAAAAACCAAGAGTCTCAAGAAACAAGATGAGTAACAGAGCAAAGTTCTATTTGCTGAGCTATCAGAATTCAGCTGCTATGATCAGTGGAAAGAACCAGTGTTGGAACAAGAACTCTCACTCTTTCTAATAGTAGCAAGTTCTCTTAACAGCTGAGCCATTCTCCATGCAATTAGTATTTTTAAGGTGTAATTACTTGATAGAAATAGTTTGAAAAGTTCTCATCTTCTTAAAATTAACTAAGTAATTAATTACGAAATGACATTATTTTTTGCCTCAATATTTTACAGAGAAAGAAGAGATAAGTATAGATTAAGCTATCTTGTGATAATTATTAAAATTATACAATCAATGCATAAACGTGGAAGAGTCAGGACTCATTTTAAACTGTTATCTCCAACAAGTATTGGTATTTTCTACAATGAATTTTTTGCTTATAAAAAGAGGACAGCAGCTCCAGAAAATGTGCATTTTTTAAAGCCAAATGATCTTTATAATAGAAAACAAACAAAAAGGTTAGTAAGCTGTGATACGAAGGAAAATTTTAAATAATTATGGGTCATTTAGGAAGCAAAGAGCAATGACTAATAGTTGTGTTGGTTCAAAAGGGGAAATACAAATACCTAGAATGTTTTTTAATAGTTTTATAGTGACAACAGATGAATTAATACAGGTAATATTCAAAAATACAAATATTTTAACTGTTTTCTACTAAGGAGAAATAAAAGTTATTTGTATAAGTAGCAGAAAGGCAATGAAAATAATATTCTTTGCAAAGATTAAGACACTACTTGGGAGCTGGGAAAAAGGCTCAGAGTGAAAAAGCCCCTACTGCTAAGGTTGAAGACTTGTGTTCAGTTCCTGGAACCCATATACTAGGGGAGAATCAACTTCTACAAGTCGTCATCTGACCTTGACATGTCTGCTATGCATGCACACTTCACCCCCAAAGAAGGAATTACAAGAAAGAAAAAATCTTGCATTTGAGACTGGAAGGAGTCAAAACAGAAGCTGTTTTGTGGTGGTCAATAATGACAAAAAAGAAGAGAAAGCCACAACAAACACTAAAGGAATGATTTCCACAGAGGGGTTTCTTGCTGACAAAACTGTTTACACCTATGCTTTGGTTTTCTTCCTGTAAATATACAGGAGCACAATTCTTCACAAAAGAAACACAGAATTAGAGAAATATGCAGAAACAAGAATCAAAATCACTCTGAAGGCCTAAGGTAGACATGAATGTTTGTAATGTGGAGACCAAAGGTTAAAACTGAGTGTCTTCTTCACTGCTCTCCACTTTAGTTTTTACGATAGGGTTCCTTTGGGAGAGTGGTCTGCGTGAGTGTATAAAGAACTCACCACCAAGAGTGAAAACCAGAGTTTGATCCCCAGGACTCACGTGGTAGGACTCCTGAAAGTTATCTTTTGACCTCCACATGCATATCCATATGTATTAACATCATATACACATACACAAAGATTAAAAAAATAAAAAAGGCGAGACTTTCTCAGTGAACCTGAGGCTTGCCTATTTAGATTGGCTGGTTAACAAGGCACAGGGATTCTCCCGTCTCCATCTCCACAGGCATGGATTACAGTGGCCCATCATCACATCTGGCTTTTTAGATGGGTGTAGAGATTGAATTTAAATCTTCATGCTTATGGAGAAAGTCATTCCTACTTTCACATAATTTTTTTCATACATGTATGTTGTATATTTTACATAAATGTGCCTGTGTATATATGTGTAGAGGCCTGAGTTTGATGTCAAGAGAATTCATCATGGCTTTCCATCTTTCTTGTTCAACTGAACCCAGAAGTCCATCAATTAGGCTACTCTGGTCAGGTAGCTTGCTCCAAAGGTAATTTGTAGGCCTTCAGTTCTATAATTGCAGGTGACTGCCACACCCTACCCATCAGGAATATATACATGGGTTCTGGGTGTTTGAACTTTGTTCCTCACACTTACCCAGCAGGTGATATAACCACTAAGCCCTCTGCCCAGCCCCACTTCCTGTCCCTTTCTTTAAAACAAGAATGTATTTCTTTTGGCCTGGTGATAGTTTCTGGTTTGGAGTTGGGGATAAATAGAGTATAAACTATCAGTCAGTTCTTCTTTGTTGGAAAAATAATCTGAAAACACACAAAGTATATTAGGTATGAGAGAAGTGAAACACAGAAATTTCATAGAAAAGCAATAAAAACATGAAAAATTATGTAGAAAACTAGGAGGACTAGTGGAAGATTAATTAATTGAAAAAAATAAGTTTTATGAAAAAGACAGAGCTGTAGGAAAGAAAAATAAGTAAATGAGCCAGCCTGACTTAAGCTTAAGAAGAAAGGAGATGGGTGGTGGGAACGTGAAGAAATCTGCAGAGACTTGGTAGTTATAATAAGTTAGAGAAAGGGCGATTCTTACATGGCTTTACATGGATACAAGAGCAACCACAGTAGACACAGATAGCCCTGTTAGTAACTTGTGCCACTCAGGAGGATCATAAATCTGCCTACGATTCATATTGAGATTCATATTGAGTTCATGGACAGTCTAGGAAACCCACGAGTGAGATTACCTATCAAAACAGTAAATAAATTCAGTGCTAAGAGTGTTTGTCTACTATGTATAAGGTCCTAGGTTTCAGTTCTCAGGACGGGGGTGGGAGAAGGGGAAGGCTAAGCACAAAAGAATAATACAACTGTCTAAAATTTTAAATACTTATAATCTAGGTGAGATCATTCTAAAACCAACCCCTAACAAAGAATCACTCTACTGATGTTAAAGATAGCTAGAATTCCTGGAGATATATTCAAATTATGGAAATAATCTTGTATGATAAAATAAAAACTAACAATCTTTATAAAATACTACTGGTATTACTTAACCGTTTCTTTACTCAATATAGTAGAAATGTCACTAATTAGTATGTGTAGGTTTTATTCCATGATTTCATTGAGAGGACTAAAGCACAACTTATAATATAGGTGGCAACTCTTTTCTTGTTTTCCACAAGTGGGAAGCAAGACCAAGGTATAAAGAATTGAAGAAAGATAATTTTCAAAATACCCTAAAACTTACTTTAAGTCAAATAGATTATGCCAGTAATTAAGTCTGGATTTTCTAAATCTAAAATATATGTCTTCTTCTTTTTAAATAAAAACACTTACCAATCTACATGTAAGACCAATAACTGCTACTGGCGTCTGTGCAGATTGAGAAATGTCAAAAAGATTATAAAGGAGTGTCTGGTTTTTCTGATGAGCAAAAAGATCAAATTCATCCAGGATGAAGATCACTGGGCAACTGCTAGTCCTGTCACCTAAGAAAAAATGAGTTTCAAATTAATAAAATACATCAAATATTTTTTTTCCCCAAACTGCTATACTTGAGTTTATAATTCACCTCAACACAAACTAATAAGTTACTCTGGGCAGGGCATTTACAAATGCAAGTTCACTAGTGCATGAAAAGTTGTCCACAGGACAAATAGAGCCATTTTTGTTCTAAACTAGTTTCCATCCAGTTACAGGAGTTTGATGAAAAAACTGAGAAAGTCATTTGCAAAACAGCTTTATAATTATATAAGTGTAGCTCCTTAATAATTACAAAGATGACTTTTCAATACCATCAAAACACTTCTCGAATATAAAAGTAGTCAATAATGAATAAAAACTACTATTTCAAGAAAGACATATTTAGCTAATAGAGAAGTGCAAAATGTACCTTCTTATTTCTCTACAAACACCCAACTAGAATATGTGGTGCAATAAAAAGAAATAAAATTTTTAACTACAAGTTTTAATACTTCAATCAGGTAATATTCAGTAGCACTCAATACATTTTCTCTCCATATGAATATAAACTACTTTAAAAAATCATCACAAATTTAGGAATAATTTACATTTATGTAAAACTTCTAAGGAAAGATTAAGGGACGATTTATTTATTTATTCAGGTAATAAAATAACCTGAGTTTAAATGGTTTAATTTTGGCCATAAAACAAAAATCAAAATACTAAAGCCTAGCAAAATTAGGAAATAGTACAGAAAAAAGAATTTGTAAAATACGGCCAATATCTCAGTATAGAGAAAACGGTTTATTCAAAGTCAAATCACTGCATATAAAAATAAATCTGTGGCCTTACTGGTATAAGTAAGTAATGCTGGAGGATAAGGAGTTTAAGAATCAGCCTCAGCTATAAAGTGCACTCAAGGACAGCCCGAGATACCTGAGCTACTGTCTTTAGAAAAAGAAACCCAACCAAATTATCAATTAGAAATATGTGTATTAAAAGGAAATATTGGTGAACGTTTTTAAAATTTGAAGGAGATAAAGGTATCTTCTAGATAAAATAGTCATGCAGAAATTTAAAACTTCTATTCAGTCAAGTATGAATTTAAGACAGCAAAGTGTAAAAATCTCTATAAATAGGTATGAGACAAAATGGGGTGAGGCATCAATAGGAAACAACACAACGGTGAGTCAGAACATCAAATAAAGAGCCATCACCACATACCAGGACATGCAAATTATAAAACCAAAATTATACAAATGAAACTGACATTGGTTAGTTTTCTACAAGGTACCTAAATATGAAAATTGGTAACTTTCTGAACTATGGGAAGAAAAAGTATTTTTAAACATATTTCAAAGACAGGTAAGCAATATTCTTTTCAATATGGCACCTTTTAATCTAAATTTCTACCCATTATAACCTATCCAGACAAAGACACATGGACAATCATTTATAGTATCTTTACATAACAGGTTGTAAGACAACCATAATTAACAAATAATAGGCAAAATGACTTTATTCTTGCTTGTCAGAGACACGGTCTCATTCATACTGTCCTTGAACACATATTCTTCCTATCTTATCTCCCAAGTGCTAGGATTAGAGGTGAATAATTTTACTCTTTTAAATTTTATTATTAGTGTGCCAGAATGATATCTCCGCGTGAAGACTGGTGTGTTACGGTGAGTGTGTGGAGTCAGAGGACAATCTTCAGAAGTCAGTTTTCTCCTTACATCTTTGGTTTCGGGAGCAAACTCAGGCTGTCAAGCTTGTGTGGGAAGCACTATTACTTGTTAAGCCATCTCATTGATACCAATTTTATCCTTAAAAAAACCTCTTTTGATATTTCTGAATTTCAATGCTTTACAAATATCTTTTATATGTACCTTTTTTTAAAGCTTCCAGAAGAAATGAAAGGTTTTCAGCAAAGCTTCCCTGAATAACAAAAATAGAAAGACTAAATTTTAATAAAATGAAGATGGCTGAATCTTAAGACTATTTACAAAAAATAATGCATTGCTTTTACTAGGAAATTAGCCAAGGGATAGATTCTCACTTGAATATCTCTGTATTCATTATCCATAACTTAAAATCAAAGGTAAAGGTAAAGCTCTGAAAATGTGAAATCTACCTATCTCATAAGTAAAGTTTCCTATTTTCTAGGCAATCCTGGTAGAAATGTTAGCAGGAGTACAGTTCCTGGACAGTTGCTAGATTCTAAATATAGTAGGGACAAGAAATGCATTCCATTTTGTCACTGCTCTCAAATTTGTACAACCAAAAAACTTAGTATAAATTAAAATCAGATCCCAAAAAGGATAAAATTTGTTTAAGATATCATACAGTTTTTCTGATCAAGAATATCCATTACAAATGTGTTTATTACATCAAATTTATCTGTTTATTTGGAACAATCTAAAATATTCTTGGACATAATTTAAACATTCTACAAGAAATTGAGAATAATGGATAAATTATCGAGATGTTCTAGAATTGGAGCAGAAACTCCCTTAATTTATTTCTTATTAAAGTTATTAATTTGAATTTTATTTAGATATTTTAAAACTTTTTGTAAGAATTTGTTTTTAATTATGGGTAGGTGTGTCTGTCTGCATGTAGGTATGTGAACATGAGGTATAGCACAAAGGCTAGAGGACTGGTTTCCTGATTTAGAGTCAGAGACAGCTGTCAACTGTCTAGTATGGGTACTGAAACCAAACTCAGATTAAGACAGGGATGACTCTTGCTTTTCTTAGGCCATGTAAGTTAGTCAAACAGGGAAACAGTTTAATGAGAAATCTGAGTACTTCAAGTCAGTCTGAAGCACTATCAGTGTCTTGAGACTACAAGACTACACTCTAAGTTATGGATATGAAATAACAAATAAACATACAACACAATACCATCCAGTATTTTATTTTATTTTATTTTTGAGACAGGTTTTCTCTGTGTAGCCTTGGCTGTCTTGGAACTTGTTCTGTAGACCAGGCTGACCTTGAACTCACAGAAATATACCTGCCATGGCCTCCAGAGCACTGGGATTAAAGGTGCGCGCCACAATCACCCAGTCTACCATCCAATATTTTTAATCAGGTGGAAATTTAATGCTTTCTCCCTTGTTTAGAAGAATTTTGTGAAATACACAAAATAAAGACAAGAATCTGAAATTGAGAAACATTCAATAGCCTAATAGTCTGATATCACCAGGGAACCATAATAACAAAGGTGTCAACCAACCCACTATGCCAGCTTTAAATTCAGCATGTATCTATCCACACTGCCCATGCTAATTTACAAGTGGTGATTTAAAAACACTTTTACTTCAATGAATAATCATAAAAATTCATGACAATTTCTGAAATAAATGCTTGATGACTAAATATATCCTATACATTACATCTTTTAACGACAAAAATATTACAAATCCTAATATATATAATAACTGTCTAATATGTTTCTCCTAACTTTCTAGAAATAAAACATCTGAAATGATACTCACAAAAACTTTATCTCCAACTACATTTTCTAGATTTAATTGCCGTGTGATCTCCTTCAGAGCAATTTTTTCATTTATCTGCAGCAGTCCTGAAATATAGCCCAATTAAAGTACAATTAAAATGATGTAAGTATTTGGCATGGACTATTTTCCAGGTAAGTATATTTTCTAGTGCTTTTTAAATTTAAGTAGAAAGAAAAAAAATCAGACTTTTTATTACTTCCTCTAAAAAATGGCACACAACCATTCTTTTGAGACAGTACTGTTTAAGAAAAAAACTACTCTTAAAAAGTTCTATTAACCTTTCCAATTTCTACAGGCCCTTATACTTCCATACAGTTTTCAAAATATAGTATTTGAACAGATCTAAAACACAAATGAATTTATGTTCATAATATGCAAACCTATGTAGTTTGCATCATTTCTTTTCTTAAAAAGAATTTATTTATCTTTATTTTATATGTACCGATGTGAAAGTGTTGGATCCTGTGGAACTGAAGTTACTTTACAGATAGTTGGGAGTTGCCATGTGGGTGCTGCGAATTGAACTCGGTTCCCCTGGAAGAGGAGCCAGAGCTCTTAACCACTAAGCCATCTCTCCAGCCCCTTGCATCATTTCTTAATGGGAAAATGATGATATACTTACCATTTAGGTGAACTTGTAACACATTCTCACTCATTCCTTGTATTTCCATTAGTTCTTTCAAAGCATGATTTATTAACTAAATATAAAATATGCAAAATGTTTAGTAGGAAAAAGATGAAATGAAGCCATCATTTTTTAAAATCATGAATGCTAAGAATCAAATATAAAGAAATCACTTTATAGCTAAAAGGTTTAACTATATAGGACCTATTTATTATGTCCAAGTCTTAAGACACTGAGCCTAATAGATACTATAAGATCTTAACAATCTAGCAAACTAATAAACTTTCGAAGCAACCCTCAAGTTTTCTACACATTACAGACTAAACTCCTGTCCTAGGTGATCTTTATGTCTCAGTATATTTTACTTTAATACTACATTTTCTATTTACATTTTCTCTACTAAGTATCACTGAAAGCATCTAAAATGAATAGAAAAAAATAAACATAAATGATTTCAAAGTTTTTCCTGCAATGCCAATTCTACAGAATACTGCTAAATACTCTGCACACTTCATGAAACAAGGAAGAACAATTAATCAAACAGAAAAAAAATAAAGTATTTGCTCATGGCTAACGAAAGAGATAAAACATACTAATAAGGATAAGAAGCTGAAGGATCAAGATTTGCAATGTGAGCTATATGAGATTCTGTTTCACAAACCACACAACAAACGAATAAAACAAACAAAAATTACCACCACAAAATAATAGGAAAGTTAAAGGAAAAGGCTGCAATTAAAAGATTACTAATTATAATTACTATGGAAATATACTCAGAAGGTATTACAAAGCCTCAAAATGTTTAATTACAGGCTTCACATTTTTTGGATAATGGCTGTGTGTCACATAATTATATTCTTCTAACATTTGTAGTGTTTTATCATAACACCACATACAACTGTTTTGATTACCACTGCATATCCATTAAATTTGTAAATGAATTAAGGAAAACTTAAAAATCTTTCAAAGAGGAATAAGGACTATCCCTTCTGTTCCAAACATAAATGCTACAGGAAGACAGATATAAGTAAACTAGAGTAGATAGAAAAGTTAAGCAAAGATAGAAAAACTATTTAATAAAGACATAGACATAACTGGTAAACTATTTTTAGAAATGAAACATATTTACATTTGCAATATATTAAAGTTATCTGTCACTACAACATTATGCAAAAGGACTAGCAAAGTTTTACACACATTGTAAGCTGCTGGTTTCCACAAAAGGATAGTAAACAGAAACACACACACACACTCTTTGAGCAGTAGATGAGCAGGACTTCCTGTTTGTCAACTAGTAGTCTTAATATAATACAGAGGATAAATGATAATGACAGAACCAATGTTGAGAAAAAAACTTGTCATTTTGAGCAATGATGAGTTTTAAAAAAAGCAAGATTAATTTCAATACCACATCCTAAATTTGTAGGACCTATGCATGTCTTTTGCAATTTAAAAGGCACAAAAAACACAGAAGGTTGAAATATAATGAAATGAAAAACATTTCCAATGTCATGTGATGTAAGAAACTTCAAATGTTTATTAAAGCAATGATACATCTGAAAATCTTTTACCATGGTCTTTCCTGATCCTCGTGGTCCAACAATGAGTACAGAGTTACTTTCTCCATTGATAGCAGTTCTTTTGAGTAGCTCAATTAAATGCCTATAATGATATGAAAAGGTCAAAAAATTAAAAATAAGGGTATAATAATTTACTGTGTCATAGCTTTAAAAAGCTAAACTGGAAGGTGCACATTACTTTTCTCCTTTGGGCTTTCTATGCTGTGAAGGATCTAAGATTTCCCAGATAGAAGAATACAGAGAAAAGAACATAGCCCAGTTGAGAATATCTAGAGACCTGAAGAGGAAACCCAGGAAGGCTGGAATATATTGGGTTCCATAGTGGTAGAGGAGAAGAGACAATCATGCTAATTTTTTGATTCCCTGGGCTTAGAGATAACTATAACTTGGGTCACCATCACCTGAATTGTCTGTGAAGTTAAGGAAAAGAGTGTCAGAATTTTCTCATTATCAGATAATAGACAGAAAAGAAATGTAAGAAACACCAAGAGACCATTGCATTATATAAGTACTGGTATATGCTCTTGTTTCACAATGGTCAGTGTTTCTATATAGAAAACAGAACTTTAACATCACTAAGATCCGTGCATTACTTACAAAACTTGGAGAGCAAATGTAAATATATTTATAATAGAGGAGCGCACAGCTAGACTTACTTGTATTGTACTTGCACTCCAAATAGGTTACTATGTGGGTTCTGATGACAAAATCTTTCACGTAAGATTCTTTGTACCTGAAAAAACATAAGATACACGAATTTAAATATTACACATACAATAAAAAGAAAGCTTATTTATAGCAGTCAGGAACTAACTGCTTTGGCATCATTTTTGTGAGTTATAACTAGATTCTCCATTTATCTAGTCTCAGATTAATAATGAGAATTTGGTTGTGATCATGTCAATGAGTGGGAGAACTGTTTCAACATATAACCACTCTGAAGGCTGTTCTAATGTATGTGAATAAGTGTTTTACTATATCATTAAAAGATCAAAGACTAGAAAAATTTAACAATGCAATCCAATCCAATAGTGCAACTACACAGTCAATGGTCTCTCTAGAGAATAATACATCTAAAATGGCTTAGTGTAATCACTATCAATCTGTACCTGCCTTGAAGTCAGGATTCTGCAGAAAATTAAACTTAAAGGTTCATGTAGTTGAAATACCCATTAGATTCTGAGCATAAAAACACTATAGGGATATGATTCAAAAAGACCCTACAAAAAAGGCAGAAAGAAATGACAAATTCAAATACCAAACTATAAAACAGTACTACATCAACTTATAAGCCACTATTTAATTATGTGAAAGAAATGAGATTCCACTGGTCTATAAAGTAAGCAATCAGGCCCATGGATGTAGTTCCATGATAAACCAACTGCTTAGTATATATGCCCAGACTCTGGTTTCTATCACCATAACTGCAAAAATAAATAAATAAAGTGAAAACAAAAAAAGAACAGAAAAGTAAGATATCACTGGAGCGAGCCAGAAAAGAATCTGTTAAAAGTAGCCATTTTTCAAATTGGTTTAGAATTATTGTCTTAGATTTAGTTGGGAAAAACATGTCAAAATAATCATGTAGTCTTTTAAAAACCAAGCCATTATAAACTTATTCTTTTTCAGTATCTGGTATTAATATAGTAATCATTCAAGGACAATACTCAGCTGACTAAGAAGACTATAAGATTATTTATTTCTCCCAGACTAAGCTGTCAGATTTTAAAGTACCAAAGATAAAATGTGAATTTTTTATGTGTATGGAAGGGTATAAGAAATGACTCACATGGTTATTATTTCAGATGAAGCACAAACAGCAATAGGATTGGTGCCAAAATCATTAAAGTTACAATTAAATGATTAAATGTTTTCTAGATCTAAACATCTAAATAAGGGAATATTAACACATTTATGTAAGGCCTATTCTGAAGATTAAAACAGTTATCTATAATACAATACATGGATTATACTGATAATAGTTGATACCTGTTAATCAATAAAATAGACCACAGACATCTAAAGAATCAATGAATTATATCTATTCCTCTACCTAGTTAAGATCACTAGAAATAAAGACAAACCTCAACCCTTTCCTTAAATAAATGAAAACCTTATTAAAATTTATTGGATAGAAAACTATGTATAAACCTAAAATAAGGAAAAGGAAAAAAGGAAATGAACCTATTAAAACCTTACAGAGTTCAAAAGTTCCAAAGTTATCAGAACGTAGGTTAAACAGGTGTTTAGAATCAATTCATGGAAGAACTATTCACTTCACATACAAAAAAAAGCTAATTATTTTTAAGTAGTAATTTCTTTTAAACGAGTGATAGCCGGGCAGTGGTGGCATAGGCCTTTGATCCCAAAACTCGGGAGGCAGAGGCACACGGATCTCTATAAGTTCGAGGATAGCCTGGTCTACAAGAACTAGTTCCAGGACATTTAGGGCTGTTACACAAAGAAACCCTGTCTCAAAGAACCAAGGGGAAAAAAAGAAAAGAAAAAAAAAAGGAGGAGGTAAACATTGAGTAGATGGCTCAGTTGGTAAATTTTTTGCTGTGCTAGCATGGGGACCTTAGTTTAGAATCTCAAAATCCACATCAAAAGTCAGGTACAGCAAACTCATGCCTGCAACTTCAGACCTGAAAAGTGGAGGCAGGAGAATTTGGAGCTTGCTGGCCAATCAGTCTAGCTAACTGGCAATTGCCATGTCCAACAAGAGACCCCATTTAATAGTACCATGGAGAATGACAGAGGAAGATACTTAGCATCCACTACTGCCTCACATACACACATATAACACAAAGAGATATGTAAGAAAAAATGATCTTTTTAAGTATGTCAAAATTTAGCATTGATTTTTAAAAGTAAATGTAGCTGCAGTCAACTGATAAACATGCTAGAGTACAATTATCATGGATTATAGGCTTCTTATAGTAAACATATATATTTACACACTTTTAGTACTTGAAAATAATGTGCTATTAAGATACTACCTAGCATTTAGTATAATACTCAATTATTGGTAAAGAGACTCAACAAAGTACAGTGAGGATAGAATGTCCTTTTTCCCTTTGTCATCAGAAGCATGTAGCTCAGCACAATATGTGTCTTCCATGGTCAAAGCTCTGGTGATATCCTCAGCATCACACTTTCTAAGGCAAGCACATTCAAACTGAAAAGGAGAAAATAAAACTTGCCCCATGTAAAAATGAAACAAAATGTTGAACATAAAAAAAACCTCCAAAATAATGTAAAAAATAGTATCTATTGAGTTCTGCAATATATCAGTATTTCTATAAACGATGACCTAAACAAAGATAAAATTAAGAAAAGAGTTTCATATACAACATCATCCAACAGAATAAAAATACTTCAGAAGCCTTTAAGAACTTTAACAATAAAAACATGGCGTATCACTTCACATACAATTTTTCCAATTTGGACAACTTTGTTTTTAGCTACTCTTTCAGGAATTTACAAAGATACCTCCTCTAATAATATAAAGCAGTCTAAAAAGTGCAAAGGAAAAAAAATCAGAAGATCATCTTTAACAAGGATCTGAGATTAAGGAACATACATACTAACCTCTGAAAGACATTCTGCATGTATTACGTTGTTACTCTTGGTCTTACGATTGCTCATTTTGACCAACTCAAATCCTAAAAAATTAAAAATAAGATGAATAAATACTGCTTTAAAAGATTATTTAAAAATTACATTTATAGAATCAGATACAAATTCTTAAATGTAAAAAATGCTTAAAATTTTCAAACAAGAAACCTACAAACATGTCCATTTGTTCATGTACTTTAAATGGTATTCTCACAATTGATATGATTCTCCTGATTATTCCTCCCTTCTCCCTAAAGATACAATTCAAGCAAGTACTTTTTCTTTCATATAGAATGTTTCTCCTGTCCAACCATCCAATGGAATCCTTCTTACAGAACACCTTCCATTTCTTGTTCTACTCAGGAAAACTACACAATCTACACAATAAGAGTTAAAGTCTTAGTTCAAGAAAACACAATACATATACATAATGCAAACTTAAATTAAGATGGAATAACCTTAAAAGCCCAGATAGAAAACTCAGAGAAAATCTTTTGAGTAGAATTGACCAAGAAAAACAAAGAATATAAGATCTTGAAGTAGAAGACTTGGACCATGCAAGCAAAGATGACAAAATGAAAGAACTGTGGAACACCAGGAAAAAACCAAATCTTAAATTATAGACATAGATGAAGACAAGAACCCAAAGCCAGTAGAATAAAGCATAACTTAAAAATATATAGAAGAACACTGTGGAATGGTCCTTCTGTACACTGTGTGAATATATGTTGGTATGACTGGTTTAATTCACAAGCTGACAGGCCAATAGCTGAACAGGATAAAGTTAGGTGGGAAAGTCAAACGAAAATGATGGGATAATGAAGGGCAGCATCAGAGGAGTCGCCAGTCATATGGATAACAAGGTGGATATACAAAATTGGATAGAGGTAAAAGCCACACAGAGCAATAGAAATGACTTAACTTGTAAGAGCTAGCTAGTAACAAGCCTGAGCTATTGGCTGAACATTTATAATTATTATTAAGGCTCAATGTGATTATTATGAAGCAGCTGCAATGAGAAACTCTGCTTACAGAAGAAACTTTCCCCAAATTAAGGAAAAATACATACATACATACATATATATGTATACACACATACACACACACACAGTGTTTTAGTTATGGTTTCTATTATTGTGATGAAACACCATGCCCGAAAAGCAAGCTGGGAAGGAAAGGGTTTATTAGGTTTATACTTCAGCATTGCTGTTCATCACTGAAGGAAGTCAGGACAATAATTCAAACAGGGGAAGATCCTGGAGGCAGGTTCTGATGTAGAGGTCATGAAGGGGAGCTGCATACTGGCTTGCTTCCCATGACATGCTTAGTCTGCTTTCTTATGAACCCAGGGATGGCACCACCCACCTTGGGCTGGGCCCTCTCCCACTGATCAATAAAGAAAATGCCTTACAGCTGGATCTCACAGAGGCATTTCCTCAATCAGAGGCTCCTTCTTCTGTTGACTCTAGCTTGTGTCAAGTTGATACACAAAACCAGACAATACAAGATGCAAGAAACATACAGAACAAGTAAAACTAGAAAAGTCCTTATGGCCTATTATAGTCAAAACATTAAATAAACAACAGAGAGGATACTAAAAAAGCAAGAATAAGAGCCAACAAGTTATCTATGAAGGAAACCTACCACAATACTAGCTGATTTCTCAAATGAAACTTTTAAAGCCAAAAGAGGCTTGGACAAGTTGTAAAGACTACAGATGCCAACCTAGGCTACTGTACCCAACAAAACTACCTGTAATAGTGGAAGTAGGAAGAAAATGTTCAGTGAATGAAACAAGTTAAAGTCATGTTCTAAGTCAAATTAGACTGCTGTAGGTTATTGCCACGATGTAAGTTCTACTGGACACTTAGAAATAGTGTGTTGGTCTTAATTAGCACCTGTGCTAATATTATTGGTATCCTGTTTAGAAAATCTTTCCCTGTGCCAATTAGTTAAGACCTTTACTCACTCTTTCTTCTTCTATCAGATTCATGGTTGTCATGTCTTATGCTGGGGGGGGTGACTTTGATCCATCTGAAGTTGAGTTTTGTGCATGTTGATAAATGCGGATCTATTTGCATTCTTCTATATTCAGCCATCAAGTTTGTCCAGCATCATTTGTTGAAGATGTTGTCCCTTCTCCAAAGTTGTATTTTTAGCTTTTTTTTTTGTCATAAAATAAGGTGTCTATAGTTGTGTGTACGAATGTGTCTGAGTCTTAAATTTAAATCCATTGATCAATGTGCCTTCTTTCATGACAATACCACACTCTTTTGCTTGAAATCTGGGATGGTGATACCTCTAACATTTTTTTAAAAACTATTATTCAGGATTGTTGTACTTATCCTGTTTTTGTATGTATGTTTCCATATGAGGCTGAAACTTTTTTTCTATTTCTGTGATGAATTGTATTGGGATTTTGATGATGACTATGTTGAATTTGTAGATTGCTTTTGGTAGAATGGCAATTTTCAGAATTATAATCTCATGAATCCATGATTATAGGAGACCTTTAGATCTTCTGATGTCTTCAATTTCTTTATTCAGTGTCTTAAAGATTTACTTACAGAAGTCTTTCACTGTCTTGATTTTCTTATCTCAGCTGACAGTAGCCAGAAGCCAAAAACCCCAACAGCAGACATAAGAAGCCCTCTTTTAAAGCTGGCTAGAGCTGCCTAACAGAGTCCCCCAAATACAGCCAAAGCTGTTGTCTTTTGCTACAAGCTCAAGGTGGAAGGTAAGTCCTTATTGCTGAAGACAGCATGCACTTCAGAAACAGGGCCCAGAGACATCTGAGCTTGAACTGACCTGAACACCCTCTCCCCGAGGACTAGCATTCATGGTACCAGAAATTGCCACACAAGCTTCCAAAGGAGGGAAACAACCAACAATCCTACCCAGCTATGATACCTGTGAACCACGTCAGTGACCAGTATGGTGGCACACATATTTTGGTGGAATTAAGACTCACTCAACAAATGGGATACCATGCCTAGCACTAGAAACCTAGTAACTACTCAGAACTAGTAATAATGGTTATTAGAGAAGCATCTACAACCACTAATTTGCTAGACCAGAATAATCCCTTAACAAAAAATCTATAAACGATGGTTTTTATACGCAAAGATAAGTGTAGTCTTCATACCTCAATAAGGAAATTTCTTTCTGAAAAAGATGAAGATTACTACAGAAAACCACAATCAATCAAAATATAGAGTCGTGGAGTCTAGTTCTAGTGGATATATACAAAAATTATTCCAGGCACCTAAGACTTAATGAACATTGTGTAATGAGGGGAGGGGGGAAAATTTTAAGAGCTAAAAGATCAGGAAGTTTGCTGTAGGACTATGTCTTCTAGTAAAATTAGAAGCTATACTCATAAAGTCTCACCAGCATGACTGCCGAAACATAAGTTGAAACACGAATGATACCAATGGACATTCCAAACTGGACTGGGAAAGGACCACAAGGTCTCAACACTATACAAGAACTATAGGCAAGTTAATAAAGTTGGGAGTGTGAGAGGTGGTTGTGGTAGATTAAATAAGAAAGGCTCCCATAGGCTCATATAGGTATGGCCTTCAAGTAGGTACTGTCATGTTGAAAGAAATGTATCACTGGGGGTGGGCTTTGAGGTTTCAAAAGCCTGTGCAATGTTAAGGTTCAGTGTCTCTGTCTTTGTGTGTGTGTCTCTCTCTCTCTGCCCGTGGGTCAACATGTAGCTCTTAGCTCTGCTCCAGAGCCATGCATGCCACCATGATGATAACCAACTAAACCCAGGAAACTGTAAGCAAGCTCCCAATGCTTTCTTTTATAAGAGTAGCACTGGTCGTGGTGTTTCATCACAGTAATAGTAACTCTAACGAACACAGTGGTCTTTCCCAGGTAGGAGGACACCAACTGGTCACCCAGTGCCAAATGGTCAACTGTGAAAACATGTATACAAATAGCATTAAATATGGATTCAACGGGCCATATGAAGGACTATATATGTCAGCAATAACAATTCCTGAAAAAAAAAAAAAAACCGCAGGCCATGAATTTGAAAGAGAATAGGAGAGTATATGGGAGGGTTTAGAGGGAGGAGGGGAAGCAAGAAATGTTAACAAAATTATAATCTCAATAATAAACAAATATTAATAAAGAAAATGTTAAACAAATTTTAACTCCTAGATCCACAAAAATACCAAGGTAACAAGGTAAACAGTTTCTTCCCACATTTGAGAATCAATGACAGACACTGAGGATATAAATTTAATGGAGCAGGAGCAGAAAATGGATGTTTCCCTACCTTGACACATTTATATGGGTTCCTATTCCTGACACAGATCTTAAGAAATGTCAAGCAAAACTTTAATAAAATATAGGAACAACACTAAAGACACAAGAGGAACTTTTAGCTTCGGACCTGTTTCTTAAACCAGCAGTAAACAGAGTCTAACTTTGAACTAATTAGTATAAAATCTACTAAAGATTTATTTACCATCACTCCTCAAACACATACCAATTCTTGCAAAGCACCAATGAAACTCACACTAATGCTAAAGTAGGAAATAATCATGATCTTATAAACAGATGCTCAAAAACATTTGACAAAATAAAACACTGATCCATGATATTAAAAAAAATGAAGCAAAGTTGGGTTTTTTTTCTGACATGGTAAATACTATTTATAAAAAAAGAACTAATAGCGGACAATGAGGACTACTGAGACCTCAAGAACAATGGCAATGGGTTTTTGATCCTACTGAACGTAATGGCTTTGTGGGAGCCTAGGCAGTTTGGATGCTCACCTTACTAGACCTGGATGGAGGAGGGTGGTCCTTGGACTTCCCACAGGGCAGAGAACCCTGATTGCTCTTTGGGCTGACGAGGGAGGGGTACTTGATTGGGGGAGGTGAGGGAAAGGGGAGGCGGCAGTGGGGAAGAGACAGAAAACTTTAATAAATTAAAAAAAAAAGAAAGAAAAAAGAACTAGAGCTGGCAGACTTACTTTTAATGTAAAATGCAAAAGTTTCCACCGTTTTTATTCAAATGGTATTAAAATCCTTATAAAATGCAAGGTAAGAAAAGTCAAGGACATACACATGAAGGGGGAAAATGGACTTTGCCAAATACCTATCGTGTTAAGTTTATGAGTAAGAAATGTAAAATTTCCCATTGCTTTCTTATGACACAACATAATTTCCAAATTAAAATGATACTATTCACATTTGCATACATATGTGGGTGCCTATTTGTGCGTGCATACACACACACACACACACACATTCCTAGGTACAAATCCAGTAAGATATGTACAAGATCTATAAAAGAAAAACCACAATATTCAAATTACAAAATTAACTCAGTTTCCCGAACCCAGTGTTAAGCTGGACTTAACTAAAAGGTTTTGCTCTTTCATGGTTTGGAATATGTAAACAAAAAGACTCCAACTGGGAGGAAATATTTGATCCTATTTGATTAGATTCAAAATACATAAAAAACTCTTAAAATGCTATCATGAAAACAACCTATTTTAAAAATGCCGATGATTTAAACTCACATCTCATCAAATAGGGTGACAAGAAAGCATGAGATGTTCAATATCATATCCTTAAAGAAATTAATAGTCAGAAAGTTTTCTATCACTCCACAGCTATTAGAAAATTTAAAACAACAATTTCATTAATTGCTGGAAAGTCTTTGAGTTAATGATAACGCTGCTTGTATTATTTAACACGCAATAGTAGTAAAAAGAAGGCAGGACCCTAGCATCAGGGCCTTATTAATTTACTGCTCTTTGCTTCTAACTGTGGATGTAACCTGACTTTTCAAGTTACTGCTGCTATGACTTTCTCGTCATGATAGACTAGAACCTGAAGCTGAGTTGGGGTGCTTTTGTTCGAATATTTATAACAGCAGTTAAGACACTCATGGTATATGTATTTTACTTGAAATTGATGCCTAGTCTCTCATTGGGTACACCTGAATTCAAGTTATTTCCTACCTAAATATCTAAATAGCTGAGATTAAAGCTACATGCTACCATATCCACAATTAATTTTTACTAGTAACCATGGAAACTTAGAAGCAGCATGTTTTTCAGTATAATAAACTTATACAGTCCTACAATGATTTTTTTACTGTGCTAAAAAGAAGCTATGAAACCATGAAAAGACAGAAATAAACTTTAGATAGCTACTCCTAAGTTAAGAAAGAAGCCAAGTGGGAAATGCTACAGACTGTCTAACTATATAGCTGATGAAACAGGCAAAACTATAGAAACACTGACAGCAGTCACAAGAGGTATTTTTCCTCCATGACAGCATACTAGAAATACCATATGACATCTCCCAGAGTGTGTAATACACGGACAATTCCACTGTCAACTCTGGACTTGCATTGATGTTTTAACATTGGCTCATTAACTGTAACTAATATAACAAACTAAGGCAGGAGTTCATACTAGAAAATAGGTCAATAGTAGAGAGTGCTGGACAGGGCTGACAAGCAGGGGTGTAGGAACTTACTCCTGTTTAAAATTGCATGTTTAACTTACCTTACACATTAGTCTAATTCTGAAACCAAATTTGCCTCTATGTACAAGAAGACAAGATATTAAGACTAGAAAATATTTTTAAGCAGTTTATTTCCTGTCTAAGGTAATGATTTCAAGAGTAAAAATGACCACTTCTTGTGGCAGTCCAGGCTCTAATTCTGTGGAATCTGGATCAAGTGAATCATGGTAAATTCAAAGCCAGTCTAGGTAACACAGGGAGTGCTACAACAGCCTGGGGCTACATAGGCTATCTTGTCTCAAAACCAACAAAACACAAAATAGACAAACAAAAGATGATGTACTTTTCCATGGTTTATATTTAAAACTGCCTCACAACTCTGTTACAGGGAGACTTTACTTGGCACTTTTCTTAGTATTGGACAATTACGGTGTTGGGTAAGATAGTTGTCACAGTCTGTATTTTCTGTCTCAGAACAGTTTTCAGTTACTTTGGCTAATTCTTCTGGTATTAAATTATACAGCCTTAAATGACATTGTTTTTCAATTTTAGGAATCACTATTAAAGCTGATGTAGATTTAGCCTTTTAATACAAATATTCCAACCACTTACATGTCTCTGTAATGCCTACGTATCAGTTGTCCAGTCCTAAGCAAATGCTACTTGTCAAGGTATCCTTCCCACACACTCAGAAAAATCAGGAACTTCTATCACTTAATAAAACAACAAACAGCGTACATGAGGTTTAAAGTTATGGTTCGAGGCAGGCTGGACAGATCATCTTGCTAGGCCAAAACACTCTCACTTGCACACACTGACATTGAAAGAAATAAAGTACTCTGAAACTACAAGCCCAAATCTAAAAAGGGTAAATCAGAGGTAAGTTACATATCCAGTCATTTCCATGCTGATGACATATACAAAAGATATGGCTGGTAAAAAGGCTGACTCATTTGATACTGCTGGATTATGGTAAAATATCAGAGCCCACGGCCCACCAAAGGTACTCAGACAATCGCTTAACTTAAGTTGAGAAATTAAGGGCAATGTAATTAGGGTAAAGGAAAATGGCATAATTTTAAGTCCTGCTAAATGTTATACATATAGCGGGAAATCCTAAGATCTTGGTATGAATAAAGTCATTGGCCATTCAGCTCTTCATACAACCAATCAGAAGGCTCCTTAGTAAAGACACTTCTTCACAGTGTACAAAGAGATTATCCTACCGCATATTCATGTAATTTTCCATAGGCCACAGCTGGAACAAATACCCAAGAAATAAGGAAACATTGCAAGTCAGCAGAAACACAATCAATTTAGAACCTGTACTAAAAAGACAACACATTAACTATAAATACATGAAAATCAAAGTCAAGGTTTCAATTTTCAGGAGGTAATCACAAACAGTTCATTTATGTTTTTACAACAATGATATATTGATACCAGAAACCACAAGGACTCTCTAAAGCATACAAAGAATTCCACCTCCCCTCATCATAGTAAAATGGCTGAAAAATCATTCCAAAAAATATTTTTAAAAAATAAAACAACTTTTTCAATGTACCTGGAATTAGATTGAGAGCTAATTGCTGGAAAACAGTAACAGAAGTCACCCCCCTCAAACAAACAAACCAGCAGAATATTATCTTCAAAGTGGTGAAAAACAATCAGAAAGCTGCAAGAAACCTTAACCCCTCAAAACAGAACCAGAACAGGGCTTAGAAGCAAAGGAGTAAGAAAAGTGGGTGGTTGTCTGCATTAAGGAACTTCTAGAGAACATACTGATGTAAGAGGAAGAAGATACCAATAGGATGGTCAGAAAGACAGTACAGTAATCAGAAGTGGCAAAGATGAGGAAACTAACTCAACATTCAAAGTTGAGAACACTGCTGTCCAACGTAAGTGTAAATTCCAAGTAATTTAATATTTTCTAATATACTTAATAAACACTATAAAAACAATTCCTACTCATTTGTACTGTTTACATACATTTCAAGTGCTCAAAAGCCACATGAAGTTGATGACAAATGTACTGAATAGCACGAGAAGAAAACTTGTTTCCTGGAAATAAAGCTAAAAATAAAGTTTAAGGAACAATAACAACATATAAACTCAGACTGTTAAACATACTATCCAGAAGATAAGTAATACTCCAATAACAGATTAGCTATCTGCCACAATGCTACAAATCCCTATGGGAAACAGCAAACTAAAAAAAAAAAAAAAACAAAACAAAAACTACACAAAAGACTTAAAAAGATGATAAAAAAAAAAGAAAAAAAAAACAATTTCTGGAGTCAGGTGGTGGTGGCGCACATCTTTAATCCCAGTACGCAGGAGGCAGAGGCAGGCAGATCTCTGTGTGAGTTCCAGATAGCCTGGTCTACAGGAAAGCCAGAACTTTCTCAAACAAACAAAAAGCAAAAAACAAAACCACAATTTGAAAGAATAAATCCAGTAAGTTTCTGAAAAAGAAATGTCTTCAGTACAGAACTGTAATCAAGGCATTACAAATTATAAAACTAGATTCATCAGATCGGCAAAATTAAAATATCGTTGGTGAGATGGCACAAGTCAAGAGTCTATCACACACTGAGGCAGGAGTATAAAATGTCATATCCATTTTAAAATTTGGTGAAACTGAAGACAGACTTATACAAATCTACAAAAATAGATAACTATGTGCATAAGAAAACATTTATGCAGATATTCATAAATATTCTAAACTAGATCGTTTATAAGTAGTTAAAAACGAACATAAGTCTAATATCCATCAAGACTAACTGTGACTTTTTTTTTAAAAAGCTTGTATTGGGCTGGAGAGATGTCTCAGAGATTAAGAGCACAGGTTGCTCTTCCAGGGTTCCTGAGTTCAATTCCCAGAAACCACATGGTAGCACACAACACCTGAATAAGGTCTGGTGGCCTTTTCTGAAGTGCAGCCATTCCTAGCGGCAGAGCACTCTACACATAATATATATCTTGAAAAAGCTAGGCGCTGATGGCACACACCTTTAATCCCAGCACTAGGGAGACAGAGATAGAAGGATCTCTGTGAGTTCGAGGCCAGCCTGGTCTCCAAGAGATAGTTAGACAGCTGGGAACCTTTGTCTCGAGAAAAGAAAAATTGATTTTCTAATAAAGAAGTTTTGGGCCCATCTGACATAATTACCTCCCTCACACAAAGAAAAGGTAAGCACAGGGTAATGGATACATGAATAGGGTCCATTGTATGAACTTGCACCAAATAAAATTTGTAAAATAAAATAACTTGGACGGTGAATCATACTAAGCAGAACTAAAATTGATACTAACAATTCGAGGATCTTCGATTCTTTAAAAAAAATCCTATTAAGGGATTTCGCTCATTAAAGTATCTTTATAAAAAGCAATGAAAAACTAACGACTTTAATTGTAAAGAATGTGAAGGTGGAAAAGAAACCGTTAATTCACTATCTAAAAAAAAAAGAAACACCCAGATAAAAAACTTTCTCTTCTACGCAACAAGGAAAGAAAATTTGGAGGTGTCTCTTCTTTAAGGACAAAACTCAGCATGAGGGAACCACACAATCCCAGGCATTCTCCCTCAGAGCCTGCAGCCTTTTGTGTGGCAGCATTCCGGCAGAGCGTGCAGGGAGCCTTCCCTCAATCCTCCCCTGCCCGTTCCTTGCCTACTGCTTCTCCAAAAATCCCTAGGACGACAGAAAAGGAGGGGATGCAGGATGCGGCCCCGGCAAGGCTAACTAGAAGTTGATCCAAATTCACACATCCGGATTGGCTCTTCCAGAAGGGTCCCAGGCTCAGAAACAAGGGTGAAGTGGGGGGGGGGGTCACCTGCAGAGACCCCCGGCTTCCTCTCCACGCTGGCCAATCATGTACCTCCCCCTCGAGCCTTCTGCACCGAGTCTCAGCAGATCAGCAGCACTCTGCCCCGCTCGGGGCTCCGTCCTCAGCATCGCCGGGGATCCGGGAGCCTGCAGCAGCCCATCGGCTCCGGGCCTGCCTGGCCTGCACGAGCCTACCTCTCTCCCAGTCTCCCTCAGCCCGACATCTTCGCTCCTTCCGCCCGTCTGCGGCCACAGCCAACCCGACCCCGCCTCGGGACCCGCCTTACCTCTCGCTGAAAAGCCTGCCTACCCCGGGGCAACGCCGGCCGCCGCCGACAGTGAGGACCCAGGACGGTCACCTCCTTCCCGGCTCCGCTTTCCCCCTCCTGCTGCCAAGCACCCACCGCTACTCCCAGCATGCGCCGCGCTCCCACCGCCTCCCCGGCCCCGCCCCGGCTTGTCACGTGACCTCCCGCCCCTTCGGGCCCCGCCTACTTCCGTCCCTCCGCTTTCCCTAAGGAAGAAGGAGGCGGCTGGGGGTGTTAAAGAGTAGCAACTTCCTCCCTCCTCCCGCCCCCGCCCCTCTACCCCCTGCTACAATGTCTTCCGGGTCGGCAGCGCCTTGGAGCCTTCTGGGAAAACATCTCATTTCCTCCCCTCCCCCTCCTCCTGCCGTCAACCAACCAGCCTCCCGTCAGAAAGGGACATGCGCAGTGAGTGCCTCCCGTCTCTTCTACCCGAGCCCCCCCTCCCCCCCAAGCAGAGAGACCCCAGCAGCAGCAGCAGCTGATGATGAAGAGAGAGGCAGTGGCAGAGGGGGGGCACCTTTTATTTCTATTTTTAAAGGGACAGGACACTCATTTTACCCCACTTCAACCTTGAATTGAGGGGGGTGGGGGGAAGGCGGCTGAGTTCCTCCCCCACCCTCCAGCTCCGAGCCCTGAGTGGGGGATTGAGCCGAAGAGAGGAGAGGAGTTTCTTCTTCTTAGAAAACCCCCATCCACGACTCCTACCCCCTCAGCCCCTCTACTCGCCTGCTCCCTGAGCCCCTTCCACCCTCCTTCTCAGTGGCCGTGAGAGGAGGAGAGAAAGAGACCAAAAGCCTCTTAGCAACACAGACCCTTTGCTGTTGCTGCTGCTGCTGCTGTTGCTGCTGCTGCTGCTGTTGCTGCTGCTGCTGCTGCTGTTGCTGCTGCTGCTGCTGCTGTTGCTGCTGCTGCTGCTGTTGCTTGGCCCTGGCTGGAGACATCTCCCTACACTGGGAGCAGCCACTTCCCCAGCTCTCCTCCTCCTCCTTTGCCTCCTCCTCCTCCACTCCCCCCCTTTATTACCCTTTGTGTCATCCTCCACAGCTCCAGGGAAGGCACTCAAAAGTGGGGGGCAGGAAAGGTAAGTGCGTCTGGGGGGGCTCCATTGCCTTCCTCTAGCTCTGACTTTCACTCTGGGCGGCAGGAGCACCAAACCTCATACGCAGTGGAGCTCCGGGGTGAGGAGGGGGTGGTGCTGGGGGGTGAGTGAAGGAGGGGCTGGAGTGAGGAGGGGTGTGTGAGGTGGGGTGTCCACCCTGTCAGGGAAGGGAGGACACTTTTATTTTCCTTTGCTGTTGTCAAAAGTGGTTTCTCCAGCTACCATCTGATTGTGCCTGGCTTCAGTGGGGGAGACTACAAAAACAACCCCCTCCTTCCTCCAATGAGGCGCCAGGGAAAGAGACAGAAAGAGGCATACTTTCTAGATGTCACTTAAAAAATTACGTTTCGAGAGCTTTCTTCTCTCTCCCCAGGAAAAGCTGCCTGCATTTGTTTCTGAGTGGGAAAATGTCGGGATGTGAATTGTATTGGAACTGCTTATGCAGTTGTAGACCTGAGTGTTTCTCTTTTTGCTTCTGTCTGTGGCTTGGATATTGACTTTAGGGTTGGAAGACTTGACTGGTGTTCATGTTAAGTGTTTAGTTTCACCATTTTTTTTAAAATTTTGTCTGAATTGCATAGCAAATTTCAAATTTTAGTTCATGAGGCCTTTGGTTGGGTTTTACACTTGTATTTTTTTGGAAAATATTTGTTTCATGTTGGACTATATAAAGTTCAAAGCTTAAAATACTTGAAGTTTAAATGCCACTGGTAATATCTTTGCCCACATACGTTTCTGGTATTTATTTTCCATAACATGAGAATATTAGCTATTTCATAACTAAGTGGTTTTTTTTTTAACTCTGATCTTTGTAACTTGTCTGAACAAGTCATCCCCATTGAAAACTTTATGTTGTTCTTGCTGCATAGAAGGCCAAACCTCCCCATCAATATTTTGCTGGGTTGGTACCACTTTCAATTTTAACTGAATTATTTATTCACTGTTGTAAATTGAGACGCGTTTTTCATCCAGAGGTAGTGACCGAATTGTTCACAACATGTGAAAGAAAATAAATTTTTAAAATTCACTTTCATGAGCTAAAAAAAATCATCAAGTTGTAGCTAGTATGTTATAGTTAGATACAAATCGAAAGGTAAATGTGGATTTAGACTTATAGAATAACAGTTTTGATAAAAATTCTGCATTCTGTGTGGTATGTTCTTAGTGGTTTCATTCTATAGTGCAGTATTTTATTTATATTTATTTATCATTTATATTTCAAAAATAGTGCTATGTTTTATTTCATAAATACTAAAAATACATTTCTGTTGTAGGCCTCATAGCTGCATCTTACATTGGGAAGTGGTATTTTGTTTCATTTATGGATTTCTTTCCCCTTTTTTGAAGATGGATGCACACATTCATCTCCCTATTCTGTCTCTGTGCCTCTCTCTCCATTTTTAAACACTGCTTTGGTTTCTCTGATTCTATAATTTATGTCAACAATAGGGGAATAGCAATTTGATCAGCAAGAAGGATGGAAGAAATAGAAATCTATAATGATATTTGACATAGTATCTTTGATATAGTCTTACAATGTGATGATCCTTTTTGTTTGCTTTATTTTGTTTTCTTAATGGTAAAACCAAACCATTTTATACTCATATTTTAGTGACTGAAAGTCAGTACATCTGTAGAAACTTGTGCAGTAAAATTTTAATTATCAACTGTGTGTAAAATAGACATTTACACACCGGCTGGGAACTGTGTAGCAGTATACAGTATGGTCCTTTTTCTTTCATTTCTGTTATAAATTTGAACACCTTTTTTAGCCTTTCTCTGAGATGTGATTGCTGCACTTGAGCAGAAATCTGTGCTAGTTTCAATTTTGTCTCCCATCATAAATATTAGTAATATTGTTAATACTAATACTCCTAAGCTTTTCTGTCTTTTTACACACTTAGCAGTCATAATACAATGGATAGGAAGGAGAACTTATTAAAGTCACCTATGTTAATTATGCACCTTGTATAGACAATGAGATAGTAGTTGTCTAGTGGGCAGCTGAGTAAGAATTTGCAGGCAGGAACTTAATGCCTGTGTTTAGTTTGCGTTTCCTCTGTTTTGAGACAGGGTCTTTTGCATATAGCCTTTTGAGTGGTGGGATTACAAGCGTTTGCTACCATACCCAGCTGTTTGTATTTTCCTTTGAAAGTGTTCCTATTCTCCTAGTTCTTACTTAATCCCTACTATGGTTAGACCACTCTGTATTTTCTGTAAAGGAGATAAAGCTTATGGCCTGAAAACCTTCTATATATTTTTAGAATGCTTATATTTTAAGTGTTAAGTACTGTTGATATTTTAGGAGAATAATTTTTCAAGTTGATAATACCTTGGAGGTCACATTATATAACTCGTCACTTTCCAAGCTGTGATATTTAGAAGACCTGAAGAATTTACTCAAGATTCCAAGATTATGACCAAGGGTTTTTGGTCAGAAATGAAAACTTTCATGCCTAATTCCATGTACAGCAGTTCAAAGTTTTACACAGAGACTTTTCTCGAGACAGAGTCTGTGATCTGGAAAGCTCTATCTAGACCAGACTAGCTTAATTCACAGAGATCCACCCGACTCTGCCTCCTCAGTCCTGGGATTAAAAGCAAGCAGCCAGCATGCCTGTCTAGACTGATCCTTCCTATGAGTGTTAAGGTACATAGCTTTAGAGCTACGATTTGCCCACCTACAAAGCAGTAATTTGATGTTGCCTCTTGAGAGGCACTAATTTCACTGGCTGTGGATTATTTCTTCAGAATCATTTCGCTTTCTCTACTACTAGTCCTCATCCCCTCACCCCCAGTTAATCAGCTAAGTAAATAAATTTTTACTCTTGAAGTGAAAATCCTTATTTACAAAATCAATTAGAATTATGAATGTTTACTTATGAGTTTGACTTAATGAACTATGTAAGGACAAAACTTTTCATCTGATTAGACCTTGTATGCACCTCATTCATAGCAAACATGGTAGGTTCATAGTAGGGCCAACTGGCTGACATAATCCATTGAATTCTAAAAATAAATATAGTTGTTTTTTTTTTCCACTCAAGAAGTGTGAGATTAATTCCTTTTCCTCTCTCCCCCTCCTGCCTGGTATAATTCTCATTACCATGAAAGTTTTTTTTTTCCTTGAGAGTTTTTTTTTCTTGATATTTGCTGTGGCTCTCACATTTTCTAATTAACGGTTAAATTAAATGCTGTTAAAAATGTAGTACTCATAATAAGAATTAAAAACATATTTCCTTCTAATCCTCATCAGGCTAGAATTTGAGAAAAGTGGCTTATTTTGAGTAAGCAATTACTTAAAAACTTGATTAAACATGTATTTGTTCACTGTTCCCTTGTTTCATCTCAGTGAGCGAATGATACTGTAGGATGTTGGGATGAGTAGGCCACCTTCACCAGCTCTATAAAGCTGTCGCAGTCCTTACTTAGGTGACATGTGTCCCTGACTTTGTTTTTTTTGGTCCTTACCCAGACAATTATCAGCTTTCCAGTTCTCTATGGATATGAAGATTTACACCTAGTCATCAGTGGGACCCAATGAAGTCAGCCAGAAAGCCTATATCCACTTACGTGTCTTTGCAGACTTTGTTGGATTTTTGCATGTCTGTGATAAATAGATTGTGCTTAGAAATTAAACATCTGTAGAATGTCTTCTTCTGCTAGGCCTGTGGTAGGCATCTGAAAACAAGGGTAGACCTGCAATTCCATGTTAAGAGAGTTAATTGTATCCCACAGATGCATTGGTGAAGTATTTTTCTTATAACTAAAATTTTATATTAATAATAATAATATTGTTAGGTGAGAAAATGAATGTTCCAGAAGATTATTACTGTATTTTATTAGAATAGACTAATATAACAAAATTTCTACTTAATATTGTACTTTAGAGATTTTCAATTCATACACAATTCATGAGCTTTAGACTATGAAAGTCATTTATTTGGCTACTTTGTTGAGTTTTTATTCTAAATATAATTCTTTAATTTGAAGATTATTAAGAATGTTCATTAAATGTTTTCA